CGCGGGTGGCGCGCTTCGGGACCCTGCCTGGCCTCTCCTCTGACCGCGGCTCACGGTTCGCCTCGACGGCGCCCCGTCTGGCCTCTCCCCTGTCCACGTCTCCCTCCTCCCGGGGACACGGCTCCTTCCTCCCGAGGACTTCGTGCCCGCCGCCGCTGTGCCTTCGCCTGCGGCCGGGCAGCGCTCCTCCCTGCTGGGGACCTCCGGGTGTTTCACGCCTGTCTCCACGACGCGACCCTCTCCTGCGGCCCCCTTCCGACGGCCCGTTCCATGGCCCGCCCTCCTCGGCCCCTGTGGTGTTTCCTCCCGACGCGAGGATTGTGTCCATGGTTGAATTCTGGGGGGGCTTGTGTAGTGATCACTGATTCATACACTGGGGTTACATAATTCAATCCAGGAACTGCAGGTTGGGGGTATTGTTTCCGCCCGGACATATATGTTGACGGTACCTCCGGGGTACCTACAGTGTGTGGGTGTTTCTCAATCGCGAGTAAAGCTGCTTCAGAGCCACTATTTCAAGCATACTACGTCATCGAGTGCCGCCGAAGTACTGTTCCAATCTCCAGCATACTTTGAAATCTACCGAGCCCGGCGTACTCCGTTTAGAGAAATATCGAGGCTGCACATGAGTAGACTCCGCGGTCTTAAAATCCCCACAATGCTTTGCGCACGGACCAATTTCCCCAAATCTGTGGCGGAAGATGTAAGGCGGGGGCCTCTCATATGACGCACACCTGCACACTTGCTAGCGTGTTCCACACTTCGTTTTCCGAATGCCAGGAAGTATTCTTGACTCGCTTCTGAAGCAAGATGCTCGGCAGACATGTGCTACCAAGCAAGCGTACTCGCGATTGAGAAACACCCTGTGTGTCCCTTTCACTTTCTCTTACTCTTCTCGGCTCGACCCGACAGCATGTCGATTTCTGCTCCTCAATAAAGCCAGATTTGTACCTCCGATGCACCGCCTCCGACTCCCTTCTCTCGGCACTACAACATTAACTTTGGATAATAACACGGGAGAAACGGATCCTCTCTTTTCCCCTCTCCCTCCCTCTCTCTCTCCTGACAGCCCGTCAGTTTCTCATGCAGCACACTAAACAGTGTGCGGGCTTCAGGTGATTATGCAGAGCTGTGTGTCTCCGTCAGACCAAACCCCAGGAAGTGCGCCGGACTCTGATGAAAATATTCGTGCTGGCCAAACGGCGGTACTACACTTCCTTTTGGTTGCCAGGCCCGGAAACACTTTTTCCCATTGACTTACATGGGGAAAGAGTGATCTGTAAATCGTTGGATAATTTTTTTTAAACTAAATAAACTACCCAGTATGAACACTTGTATAGCCCTTATTAAAAACATTCGTTCCTCAAGTTGTAAAATGTGCTAATAACGTTATTCTGAGAGTTATTTCCCTCTGCATTATGAACGCGCATCTAACCCACGGGACCGCGCCGCCCGGCACGTTCATGTTACGTGTTCAGCACTACATTTATCTTTAGCGTTTATCTTTACCCATGGATGCACAATAAGAACGGACCCATATCGCCTTACTGCCAGCCCACGGAGCTGTAATAATGGATATACAGTATTGCACATGTTTGCTGTAATTCATCATTTGTAAAATATTATACTACATGGGCTGTATGATTAAATCTTGTACCGTAAATGTTGTATTAAATAAAGTTAATATTACCGACGTAGATTAACGTTCCTGTAGCTTCTTATTGCACTAAGAAGCTTATTGCACTGTGTGTGTATATAATATATATATATATATATATATATATATATATATATATATATATATATATATATATATATATATGTATATATGTATATATATATATATATATATATATATATATATATATATATATATATATGTATATATATATATATATATGTATATATATATATATATATATGATAGATATCTGTTCCGGGTACGGCATGACATCATGCCGTACCCGGAACGAAATGGAAGAATCAAATGGACAATGACGTATCTCCAACGAGGCGTTTTGGGGAGGTATTTTCTGTGTTAGAGTTTTACTCGCTACAGGGTGTACTTTGAGGGTTTTGACTCTGCACACCGTTTACATGCATAAAAACCTTCATAACACACAAGGGGACGGGTAATAACCGGAAAAGCATGACACCTCTTCTTTAAAGGTGGGGAAGGTAATTTTGGAGAAACCAGCTCGAATTTGAAAATACACAACCGGTAAAAATCTGCCACTTCCTTACAGAGCCCCTCCTCCAACACACACGAACGCGCACATGACCAATGAGGGCACGAGATAAGTTTGTGCACAGATGGAAGGCTGACAGGCAGGTAGGCCATCCAGTTATTTTAGCCGGGCCGGCTCAGATGATTGGTCGTGCTTTTTACAGTAATACGGCTTCCACAGATGACATTTTTTTATGGATTTTTTGTCAAAGCACTTAAGATATTCATTGCTATCGGGATGTTAAGAGCATTCCATGGAATATAACAAAAAGTGTATCTCGAGCCGGTTTCTCAAACTTACCTACCCCACCTTTAAAGTACCAAAAGTAGAAATACTCATTATGCAGATTGGCACATGACATTTCATAATAATATATGATATGTTTGATTCTAATTATTGATGCATTTATTTGTTTATCAAAGCTGGTAAAGGTGCAGTTACTTTGGATTACTTTGTATACTGCAGGGTAGCTTTTGAATTGTCTCCAGGTGTAACTAAAGTCTTATTTAAAGGTGGGGTAGGTAATTTTGGAGAAACCAGCTCGAGATCGCTAGAATTTGAAAATACACAGCCGGAAAAAATCTGCCACTTCCTTACAGAGCCCCTCCTCCAACACACACGAACGCGCACATGACCAATGAGGGCACGAGATAAGTTTGTGCCCCGATGGAAGGCTGACAGGTAGGTAGGCCATCCAGTTATTTTAGCCGGGCCGGCTAAAATGATTGGTCGTGCTTTTTACAGTACTACGGCTTCCACAGATGACATTTTTTTATGGATTTGTTGTCAAAGCACTTAAGATATTTATTGCTATCGGGATGTTAAGAGCATTCCATGGAATATAACAAAAAGTGTATCTCGAGCCGGTTTCTCAAACTTACCTACCCCACCTTTAAGTGTTAAGTGTTGTTTATATTTCAAAGGTATTAAACGGTGTAGTGGAGTAAAAGTACACGATTTACTTCTGAATTGTAGAACAAAGTAGAAAAACATTGAAATATTCAAGTAAAGCACAAGTTCCTCTTTAAAAATGTACTAAAGTACAGTACGAGTATCTACTAAGTTACTTTACACCACTGCTAGCAACTTAAGGAGTAAGTGATTGATAAGTAGTAGCCTACACATTAGAATGGACAATCCATAAAAAGCGCAGTAAAATGCCAGAATGTCTTTTACGTGGAAATAACATTGTTGCTAACGTACAACTAAACTAGCAAAAGTGAGAAGCTAGCTTTAGCTTACCGAGCATGTGGAGTGCAGCTAACCCAGGTGAAAGAAACCAGGGCTTCTGTGTTTTCAGGCCTTTGCATGGACACCGTTTCAGTGTTAGCCAATAACTGCTGGACTTTCAAAACTTTTCGGACTTGGTTTCTACCGTTTCCAAGCTTCTGTAATGCTCAATGCGGTCATTTTAAGAAAGTAGGCCTACTTCTAGCTCAGTATGGTAACTCGGAGGACCTGCACTTCACCCTCTTCTCTCCTCACTCACTTCAGGTAAATATTCAATAGGTTTACTTGGTTTGCAACTTTTCTTTTTTTCAAAAATGTGATGTAGTTACAAAAATATGATTAATACAGTTAGCCTTAATCGTCCTGTGGTTGGCTGTTTAATTTACTTTTACTAATTTTGGACGGGTGCTGCTTGAGCTGCGAGGAGTACTAATTTGTGTTGCTCTAATTCTGTTAAAAATACACAACATAGGTTCAATATAACAATGAAACAATAACGTTTACCTTTACCCAACCATTCAGGCCAACTCCTCTCAATTATTACACATCTTTGTGGCCTCTTTGTTGTGCTCAGTGTTAATCACTTTTAAAGTGACGTTTTGGGATAATGCAGAAAGGGAGTATTCCACAGTTCTGTGAGGTCTATGTTTGTTTCCACATGGCGGCGTTGTTCTGCATGTTACCTGCAGCCTCTGGAGCCAGTCTACAACATCTTGTTTTATAAAATCTCTTTCTGCGTGAACAATTTAAAACAAACTATATGAAAATATAACACAAGTCAGGGGCATTGCAAGCTGTACGTATGTCAACGATTACATTTACATTTCTAAATGAAATTGTAAATAATAATAAAAGACGTGCAAAACTCCCATCATGCCTTGCGTCACGTTACCATCCAACAGACCACATAAAGCACATACAGTGAAAACACGATATATTTTCCAGCAGACCCAATTGCAGTAAATCATCATCATATGTGTCTATTGTATGACGGCTACATAAATGTATCCATTAACTCTGTTGTTAATTAGAATTGGTTTTCCCAGTGTCCCTTAAACACATCAGTGACCGTCAGTTAGCGTAACTGTGCGGAGAATCACTCTATTACCGCGGAACATATTCCAGTATCGCTTCTCGGCCTTTTGGCTAAGATCAAGTGTAGTATCTGTTCTTATCAGTTTAATATCTGATACGTCCCCTACCCGGGGACCATATATTAAATTGATTTTTGGAATAGGGAGATGGAATAGGGGCTTGCTCCGTCCACTCCACGCATCGACCTGGTATTGCAGTACCTCCAGGAACGGTGCACCCCCTCTGAATGTTTAAAAAGAAAGAACCCATCACGCTCAGGTCACACGGTCAAAGACTTGTCTGTGGACAATCTGGATTCCAAACACACTTATCTAACGGATATTTCATAGTATTTCTACCTACAATGAATTTACATATTCGAAATAACTATGTAAGACGAAGTAGATAGTAATGCTCAGAGTAAATATATGTAACCTACCAAACAGTGTTTGCTCAGTGTGGTTATCTTTTGCTTCTCGGCCTTTTGGCTAAGATCAAGTGTAGTATCTGTTCTTATCAGTCACTGCGCTCTTGGCCTTCTGGCTAATAAGACAGCGGTCACCTCCCTTTCTTTGGAAAACTTTTGCCTGTTGTGGCACTGTTTTCTGTCTTCATATGGGAGGACATTGTTTTGTAAATACAAATGTATTTATTATAAACGTTAGTCCTTAACATCTATCACTGTGTATATCACCATTCAAACATCTTTTAAAAGTTGAACAAACCCCACACAGCTCAGTAAACACTGAAATGTTGACTTTATTTGATCATTTCAGTAAAAACTAACGTTCATATACTTCTCTTTTTCATTATAATACTGATGAACGTTCAAAACAAAGCACTTTGGCAACTTACCACATACGTTTTAAAATGCTTAATAAGCACCGTAACTTTCATGATATCATTTCTCGGTCATAATCGATTGTTTCCGTGAACGGCCGACTGTTGTGTGACGGCAAATTCTGCGGCTGCAAGGCATTGTGGGGCAGCATTTTCTCCTCTCCTTTCGTCAAGGGAGGTCCAGTGGTTCCTAAGCTAAAGGAGGTTATAAAGGAAGTTTGAAACCTCCTTTCCTATCATCGAGAGAATTCGAACGGCACTTATCATGGCTGCCACTGACTACTCCCCAGACAGTTCATCTCTGGAGGACTCCAGAGTATTCCTCCCCACCTGAGACTGTGTTGGTTTCAGGGTCAATGAGACATAAAAAAGTCTGACCTATGGTGTTTCTCTACCTGGGAAAGACATTCCTAGATTTTTGAAAATTGAAGTAGCCTACTGTATACACCGTTTACACCGTACACAAGGTTCAGTTTAACATAAATAACCACAAACTAATATAATATATACACAATACAAGATATCTGGCTTCATGATGACACTAAATAGGAAATTGGATGTCCTTAAAAAAAATCATCCCACGGTTTCACTTTATATTCACTGATTTCTCCAGTTCAAACTGTCAGTCCATTTCATACCTTTGAAATACATATAGAAGTGCTTTTTCCTATTAAATGGTGTTATATTATATGACGATTGAGGTAAACTTTTAACATTTTATTCGGTTTAAAAAATGATGTTTGTGAGACAAGAAACTAATATCTATTCTCTAAGGATTAAAGTGGAAACAATTTGAGGTGTGGCCCTAATTTTTCAAAAAATAACAGCCTCAAAATATTGTCTTTGCTGTGACTATGTTTTGTGTTCATTGTGATCATGAATGCACAGATATGGAGCAGTTTGAGGTGTTTAATAAAGGCCACAGAAGGCTTTAAGTAACATTTGATATTTTGATTGGAGTACGATTTGAAAATCTGCTTTATCTTTAGAGAAATCCTTAAATTATACAACTAGCTCTAAGATTTGTGGAACATTTTCCCACATGGCATAAACAAAAGAAATGTATTTTGATAGATATCTGTCTGGGAAGTCTCCATCACCAAATTCATTCCTAATTGTAATACTTTGGGATTTTGGACTTTAAGATCAGCAACAGTGGGGGTAATTTAGAAAAGTACATTCACCTTAACGATATTGAAACAAATGGCACCACCTGCTGACTAGAAGTAGGAATACAAAGTGAGAGTGCAGTAAAACATTTGTTCAGAATAAGTAGGGGAAGCAATGGATAGAATTAAAAATACATTTAACCAAAGAACACTGATTATAAACAAAATGGCAACTTTTTACAATACATTTTTACATTTAACTTTAGGACGCTTTCTGTATCCAGTATCTCAATGGCGTGTCTAAATATTATAGGAGCAACATTTTCGCCAATATTTGTTCAGATTGAGTGATAAACGATACAGCTGAAATATAAGGAAGGACCGGAAAGGTAACAATTCCTGTTAATTTCAAATCAAAAGTTTATAGTGCACATTTTAAACTTTACTGTTGAAAATGTTGTTTTAAAAGAGACGTGTTGATTCAGCTGCTTGTATCTATGTCAAAATACTTGTTTTACCCCGCGTGAGAATGATCTGAGGATTTCGCTGACCTTAAAGGGTCAAAATAAATCTCGCTCTAGGTTAAAAGGGAGTGATTTGAGTGCTATGACCATAAATACCGCAACACAAAGAATTCAGCAACTTTAGTTTGCCCATTAATGGCTATACAAGTGCAACATTGTCAATAGTATTGGATGTCAATATCATTTAAAAAAAACTGGCATTTTAAACCACAGGGAGATTGTCCTCTAAGGAGGCTCGGTTGGCGATAATCTTTACCATATTCATATTGTCCTTGTGTGGGATTTTTCCATGGTTACTTTGGTTGAATACAAATCTGATAGAGGTCTTAGCTGTCATTGTCTATTGAGTCAGAATGAAATCTTTAAGTTGTGTATGTGTGAGTTGGTACCAATCCAGGAGACTGGCAATATCCTACCAAGCAGATAGTTCATCTAGTTGTTCCAGCGGCAATGTGGATCTGGGTTACCTGAAATCAAACCGGGAGTCCTGCCATCTCCTGGGATCTTTGCGTCTTCTTCACTGGATCTTCTCACTCAATATAAGCCTCAACCTGCATTTAAAAAAAAAAAAAAACAGCGTTAAAGTCTCTGTTTGTTTTCCTTCACATTTCAACTCAAGCTTCCCTCCCTTATGTCATGTTACAAAACATCATATCACACAATAAAATCAAAGGAAGTGCTGACTGAATGTTAATACTTAAAGGTCCATAGATACCCATAGATTCTGAATAGAAAATAGTGAATGAATGATTTTAGAAACAGCCTAATATCAGTTAAAAGGATATACTATACGCATTTATTGACATAGAACTATCAGAGCGGGCGGCAGACACCCTATCCGTTTTTAAGAGTGCACTTAAGACCTTCCTTTTTGATAAAGCTTAGTTAGGGCTGATTAGATTCAGCCCCTAGTTTTGCTGCTATAGGCTAAAGGCCGCTACACACCAACCTGAGACCAAAGAACGCGTACCGAAGGCGTCCCGACTTTTACGTCCGCTACGTCGCCTGCGTCGGCTACGCCGCCCGCCTACGAACACACCGCAAAGACTTCAGTCGACGAGTGGCAATAACTGTCCTTACCAGCAGGCAGCGGTAGTGTGTATTCGTCATTCAAAAGAGGCAACAACCGGAAGACAGACTGCGTTATACACCGAGAGAAGAAGAACAGACTGCGTGATATAAACAAACAACAACCTCTCCTGGATCAAGCTGATTAGTTGGTCTTCACTTTCTTCATTCCAGGCCGCCATGATAAAAAAGAAACTCTTGCGTCCGGGTGAGATGAAAATGAAAAAGATTAGCCGTCTGTGTGTGCCTTCTTAATCGTTTGTTTTGGTCCCTCACTTCCGCTTCGCTTCTCATGCACTGATTCGCTAAGCTGAACAGCCAATCAGAGTGATTTCTTTGGCCGACTTTCTTTGGCCAACTGTCTGCCGATTCAACTTGTTGACACACCAACCTGAGTAGGGCGCCGCGAATGCCCGACTGCCTCTGACGGCCTCTGACTCCCAAAATCGGGTTGGTGTGTCAGGGGCTTTACTTCTTCCTTTTCTCTGTCTGTACCTGTGTACTCTCATGTTCCGAATAACCCAGCTTCCCCCACATTTCTTTTTGGTGTCTATCTACGCTGGGATCCTGAGTCGTGGCTGATCCTGAGTCCTGAGTCCTGATCTGAGTCCTGGATTTCGAGTCGTGGCTGAACCTGTCACTGTGGTCTCTGCCTGACTTTCATCGTACTACTTCCCTGATGGCTCCCACAGGATTGTTGACATCCTCGTGGATTCATCTTCTTATTATAGACACATGCATTTCCAAACATTTGGTCTACCTATGTTGTAAATGTATTATCTTTTCGATTTACACATGGCATCGATTGCACGTCTGTCCGTCCTGGGAGAGGGATCCCTCCTCTGTTGCTCTCCCTGAGGTTTCTCCCATTTTCCCCTTTAAACTGTGGGGTTTTTCCTTTTTTTGGAAGTTTTTCCTTGTACGATGTGAGGGTCTAAGGACAGAGGGTGTCGTATTGTCAAACTGATATTCTGTACAAAATGTGAAGTCCACTGAGACAAATGTAACATTTGTGATATTGGGCTATATAAATAAACATTGATTGATTGATTGATTGATTGATCAGATGTGAACACACGTTAAAGCTTTGCCAATGTTTGAGCAAAAAGTCAAACACACTTTCTACATTTAACCTGCAGAGCATAACGTCTCTAAAACCTTTTTATTTTTCTGTAGAAATAAAATACCTTTACCTGTTTAACCATTTGAATAAACACAATCATTTAAGAAATACTCTTAGCAGTAAGAGTAAAACTTGTGCAACAAATCAATGAATTTTTTCTAGCAACTGGAGGTGGGAGAAACTCTGTTATTGTACTTAAGTAAAAGTAGAAGTACCAGAGTGTAGGGATACTCTGTTACAAGTCAAAGTCATGTATATAAAATGTTACTCAAGTAAAAGTAGAAAGGTATTAGCATCCAAATATACTTAAAGTACCAAAAGTAGAAATACTCATTATGCAGTTTGGCACATTTCATAATAATATATGATATGTTTGATTCTAATTATTGATGCATTTATTTGTTTATCAAAGCTGGTAAAGGTGTAGTTACTTTGGATTACTTTGTATACTGCAGGGTAGCTTTTGAATTGTCTCCAGGTGTAACTAAAGTCTTATTTAAGTGTTGTTTATATTTCAAAGGTATTAAACGGTGTAGTGGAGTAAAAGTACACGATTTACTTCTGAATTGTAGAACAAAGTAGAAAAACATTGAAATATTCAAGTAAAGCACAAGTTCCTAAAGTACAGTACGAGTATCTACTAAGTTACTTTACACCACTGCTAGCAACTTAAGGAGTAAGTGATTGATAAGTAGTAGCCTACACATTAGAATGGACAATCCATAAAAAGCGCAGTAAAATGCCAGAATGTCTTTTACGTGGAAATAACATTGTTGCTAACGTACAACTAAACTAGCAAAAGTGAGAAGCTAGCTTTAACTTACCGAGCATGTGGAGTGCAGCTAACCCAGGTGAAAGAAACCAGGGCTTCTGTGTTTTCAGGCCTTTGCATGGACACCGTTTCAGTGTTAGCCAATAACTGCTGGACTTTCAAAACTTTTCGGACTTGGTTTCTACCGTTTCCAAGCTTCTGTAATGCTCAATGCGGTCATTTTAAGAAAGTA